ACTGACAGTGTTCTCACTTGATTTTTGCTAAGCCCTAATGATGATTTAGTGGTAACTATCCAGCAATACTGTTACATTATCTCATATTACCAAATCTCTGATTCTAAAATATTAATTAAATTATAGTTGACTTAATTGAAACAATTAGCAGCTGGGATGTGATGGAGGAAGTTTACACATTCAGTTTCAAGGTTTGGACTTTGCACTGGTGGATATTCCTTGTCTGTTTGCTGACAGAAGCTGTTCTCTGCTTTGAAACATGAGGCCATAGGGTATATGAGCTGAACTAGACCATCCGACTCGTCATGTTTACTCCAATGTTCAATCGTGGCTGATGTGTTTCTCAACTCCATTCTCCTGGCATCTCCCTGTAACCTCTTGATCCCCTTACTAATCCACCACCTCATTTTGTTTCTAAACATTGTCCCTTCACTCTGAGGCTTTGCCCTCGAATCCTAGACTCTCCTACTAGTGGAAACATCATCTCCACGTCCAACAAAATCTTCCGTAATGTTTTCTTTAATAGCTAAGATCTCCTAGCCCTCTAATCATTAGAACAAGAGGTGGGAACTTGCTCAGCTTTTTCAAATTTGAATTGCTTTTCATGCAAGTTGTGAACAGCCTTATTAATGATTGCTTGGTTAACTGAATGATTACTGTACTCTTGACTACTCTACCTCTTTTACAGCAGTTCCTAGTTATTGTTGGTTCAGCGATATTAAAACCCAACCTTCCATTAACCTTTCTGCTCAATTTAGTCCTGATCAATTTTGATTTCCAACAATCTAGTCATCCCTTGGCTGCATAAAGTGGTGTCACAACAATTTCTGTATGTGCACAGGTGTCTTTAGCCGAGGCTCAGTTGCTAACACTCCTGTTTTCATCAGTTTAGAGACTTGAGCACAAAATGTAAGTACTGTGTTGGGAGAGTGCTGCACTACTGGAGGTACTGTCATTCACATTACATCATCTCTGATATAAAAGATCCCATGGCTTTACAGGAAGTGAGTTATCCTTTGTTTTTTGGACAATATTTATTCATACATCAACATGAAAATGGATTAAGTAATTCTTCGTCTTTATTGTCGTTTGTTGGAGCTTGATGTGTGCCTGATGAAGGGTTTCGGCCTGAAACATTGACTTCTCTGCTCCTCGGGTGCTGTCTGACCTGGTGTGCTTTTCCAGCTCCACATTTATTGACTCATGATGTGTGCCAGTTGGCTGCTGCAGTTCCAATATTGTGCAGCAAATGATGGAGAATGTGGAGACAGAACGTTGCTCCACTGGGATCCTGAAATGGTCGGCCAAACAATTTTATGGATAGATGCACCTGTGATAGTTTGAGCCTGAAACTACCAAGTAGCTTTTGCGGTAGTTTTCTGACCACCAGCGGAGGCCCAGAGTGGCAAATGTCTCCTACAGGACTTCACCAGCTCAGTCAGTAGTGGTGGTACTCCTGGTGATGATTGTTGAATGCTCTTACCTGGATTATATTCTGTGTTTCTTCCGAGGAATGTTACTTCATCAGCTGAGGGGGGACGTTTGTTGATAGTCAGAGTTCCTAGCCCATGTTTGACCTGATGCTTTGAGAATTCATGAGGTTTGAAGCTAAAGTTGAGTGCTGAAATGATTCTTTCGTGCCTGTATTACCTGGTGGGTCTGTTCTGCTGGTAGACGGAGCATACCCATGGGTTAGTGATGATGGAGACTGGGATGTTAGTTGAAAAATATGACTCGATGAGTATGGCTATGTCATACCTTGCCTGAGTACTGTGTAACAGCTCTCGCACTGAGTAGATAGATTATACTGGATGCAAATTAAGTTGGAGTTCAGAGTTTGGGGATTTCATTAAAAGTATGCTTTCCATTTTTCTGGAGGTTTTCATGTATTTTTACTGATGAATCTTGTAAGATCTCTGACATTTTGAAAAGAGGAGTCAACGTCCAATGGGATGCACAGAGCATTACATAAAGTTTAGGCAATTTGTGTGCAATTAATTGGGTCCTCCCTAGTTGGTATAGCTTTAGGAAGAATACAGTGTAAGTTGCTGGTTAACTGTTTACATATATCTCATTTCTCTGGTGTTCTGCTTAGTTTGTGAGGGTGTCACGGTATCCTGTTTAATTTCCTTTCTCAAATTTGTGTTATCCCTTGTTCCTGTATTTTTGGCTGACCTTTCAGCAGGTTACACCTTACCACTGGAGTTCCCTCATGAAATGTTTCCACTAGTTTATTTATCTATTATCTATACTCTCCCTCACTCTGTCTTCTCACTCCTTCCTCCTAATATAATGTATATAATAGTACAGTATCCTGGTCTTATTAATAGAGGCATAGGGCATGGCAGCAAGGAGGTTATGTTGAATTAATGTAAACTAATTCAGCCTCACCTGGACTATTGCAACCAGTTCTGGGCATCACACTTTAGAAAGGTCTGATAGCAATGGACAGATTTCAGACAAGATTCACAAGAAGAATTCCAGGGATGAGCAGTTTCAGTTATGAAGATTGATTGGAGAAGCTGGGGCAGTTCTCCTTGGAGAAGAGAAGGCTGAGCAGAGATCTGATTTGAAGTATTCAAAATCATGAGAGTCCAGACAGTAGATGGGGAGTGAATGTTCCTACTCGAGAATCAATTGAGAACAGGCTACAAATTTGAAGTAATTAGAAACAAAATGGTGCAAGGTAAAATTCTTTACATGCAATCATTAGGGTTTGGAATGCACTACCTAGGAATGTGGTGGAGGTAGGTTCAATCAGGGTGGTGGAAAGGAACAAGGTTACAGAGAAGGCAGATGAATAGCAATAGATGTATGTGAATTTGCCACTCCTCGGAAAATCTGCCCAGTGTTGCTTTCTAAAGTTGTGAGGGGGAAAATTCGAGACTGAGTGGCACTGGGAGTCTTTTGAATTGGGAAAATTCTGCCTGATGACAGCCATGTGATTGGTTGAGCTGCATTGAATTGAGGAATGACCATCACCAGGAAGACGACAATGTGTTGTCAGTGCTAAAAAATTTTAAAAAAGACTTCAGAGACAATTTGGCACATTCTTAAAGTTTAGACCTGTGATTCTTAAAATTATGTTTACCCTGTGTATATTCTTTCTCCACCCACTGTGTCTTTGTCAAACCATTGTCTTTTGCCTATCTTGATCATTTGTGTGTGTGCGCGCACGTGTGTATGTATTTGGGGATTTTGAAGCCAATGTCTTTAGCATCCTCTGAAAGCTTACCATTAATTCAGCACCAAACCTGGGTATGATCTGTCAGTAACCATGTCATGTAAAGTGACTGAGTGCATCTTCTGACTACATTCTGCCATGAAGGTGGCCTACTTTCAATTTGCAAAATTGTCTATTCTTACCTCAGCTTACCTGCTTCTGGAAGCCTCCATTACACTTTTGTCACTTCCTTCCTCAGGTCTCCAATGCTCCTGTGGTTAATTTCCCGTCTTCCACCTTTGATAAACGTCGGCTCATCCAAAACTCTGCTGCCCCGTTTTGAATCTGCTCCAAGCCCTGTTCACCCATCGTCCCTATTCTTGCTGCACTCCAGTAGCCCCTGGTCTTCCAATACCTCAAATTTAAAAGGAATTGTTTTTGTTTAAATATTTTAATGACTCTGTTCCACATTTTATAACCTCCTTCAGCACGGTGATCTCTGAATTACATATACTGCACAGAAAAAGCTTTAACTGATCCATGTGATGTTTATACTCCCTGTGAGTCTCCTTAGCTCAACTCTAACAGCATACCCTTCTGTTCCTCATACACTTGCATAGCTTCCCCTTCAATGAATCTGTTTATTCACCTTTTGTGGTAGCAAGTTATATATTCTAGACACTTTCTGGTTAAACAAAAATTCTCTTGAATCCTTTGTTAGATATATTAGTGACTGTTATATTTGTGATCTCTGGAAAAAGCATCTACCCCACATGTTGTCTATTGAACCCTTTCGTAACCTTAAAACAGATCAGCTTTAGCCTGTGAATTGTTTGCAAATCAGACTGAGTCCAGATAAGTCTGATTGTTAGGTGTGGAGCTAATATGAGGTGGATCATTCACTCAGATTGAGAATTAGGAGTATTGCTTAATATGACCTGTAGGATTGTGTCGGAAAGCTTTACTAAAAGGCTGCCCACAGTGGTGTTCAAATGTAGCCCATTCCTACATTTGAGGGCCTGGAGAGTCCAAGTTAAACTGAAGCTTTTTAGAATTAGAATTGGGTTTATTGTCACGTGTACTAGAGTTACAAAGAACAGGATTACAGTGAAAAGTGTACAATGCCGCCAACACATGGCACCATCCTAGGTACAGACCTTGGGTACAAAAATAGAGAAAATAAAGAAAAAAGTTACACTACATTACAGATATACATAGTATAAGTTAGGAAAATAAGATATAAAGCTAAAAAGACAGACATTAGAGTCTTTCTATAAGGGCTTCCATGTGGTTTGACTGGGCTGCACCAGTTCCCAACCAACAGCGATCTTCACTGCTGGCCGGCACCACACTTCGCTCTTTTCATCTGATAGAAGAGAACATTGCTACCTTTCTTGATCAGGTACCAATGTCTGTAGATTCGTGCACTCATTGGCTCTGTCTAAACACCCCAGCAGTCCCCAAGGTCTCATAGATTGACCAGTGATAAAAGGCCCATGCCCGAGAATGAGACTCGGCATTCCTCCTGATTTGGTATTTTCTTCCTGCCTGGGCTGGCTCTCAAATTCTTGTGTGAAATCGGAGACTGTGCCAGCAAATTTGTGCTGAAGAAGGGGAATCATCAACCCTGTGCCAGATCCAGTCCTCCAACTCTGCAGTAGACACTCACATGAAGTTTAGTCACTTGGCAAATGCACTGGAGGGTTCCCGGAGATGGTAGATCCACACACTAGTTCAAATCCAACAACTTTAGATCTGGAGGAAAGGAATGTGAAGCAGCTGAAAAATTACAGCAGCTCTGTGCCATTAACTAACATATTTTTGTCTTCTCTCTTAGATTGGTGCGAGAGTTTGTAGCGCAGAATAACACTGGACAAATCAAACACGTGATCCAAATCCTGTCCCAGGAATTTGCACTTTCACAGCATCCTCACAGCCGTAAAGGTGGCCTCATTGGTCTTGCTGCCTGCTCCATCGCCCTCGGCAAGGTGAGTGATGTTCACCCAACTGATGCATTCGCTAGTCCTAGGCAACTATAAACTGGTGGTTTATTAATTAATCCTCTCCAGTCTGATATTTCACACATTTTTCTCCACACATTTGTACTGGAGGTATTCACTTTTTCCCCATTATACACACACTGTCGTTCACGTTTCCCCTCCATGGCCTATGTAGTGTGACCTCTGACTCTCATTGACCAGAAGAACAGGAGATTTGATAGTTGCCCTTCATATGAATCCTTGATGATGTCAGATGAGCATGAAGGATTAAATAGCACTATTTGAAAAACAGCTCTCTGATGTTCTGGTCAACATTGATCCTTCAATCAACATGCACACCTGTGGTGTGCAAAATGTTTCACTACGTTACAGTAGTGTCTGTATGTCTGCAATTATTTTATCAGATGCAGTCTCTTTGGGATATCTGCAGTTTTAAAATGCTCTATAAATAAGTCCATGTCTTAATCAAAATATAAAATTAAAAATACTTCTAAAATGAAGAGGCCTTTCAGGCTAGGATTTTGTCACATGAAACTGGAAGTATAAGCGTCTTTCTGTATTCAAATCCCTCTGCAAACAGCAATTAAACTGAGCTCTGGCTGTATTTCCTTCCAGGAGTGAGATTTTGTGGACTTTAGCCTGTGATAATAAATGTATTTTGTCTCTATACGTTATTGACTTAAATTTTCTTTTATACCAGTTATAGTACTGCCTAAATGACTGACAATGTTTTCTGGAACACATTTTTTTGTTGCACAAGTCATTTAATATGTGTAAAGTGGAAGCTGGTAAATCCATGGCTGGTATGTGTAGTAGGAATTTTTAATGTGTTAATTATTTCAGTGCAACCACACAAGTACAGCCAAGTTTAAATATGAGGGAACAAAGATTGTGCTGTGAATGGGTTCATCCTCCATACAGTCAAAAAATTATACAGGTTAAGAACATAAGAACTAGGAGCAGGAGTAGGCCATCCGGCCCCTCGAGCCTGCCCCTCCATTTAATAAGATCATGGCTGATCTTTTTGAGACTCAGCTCCACTTACCCGCCCACTCACCATAACCCTTAATTCCTTTACTGTTCAAAAATTTATCTAGCTTTGCCTTAAAAACATTCAATGAGGTAGCTTCAACCGCTTCACTGGGCAGGGAATTCCACAGATTCACAACCCTTTGGGTGAAGAAGTTCCTCCTGACCTCAGTCCTACATCTGCTTCCCTTTATTTTGAGGCGATGCCCTCTAGTCCTAGCTTCACCTGCTAGCGGAAACAACCTCCCTGTCTCCACTTTATCTATTCCCTTCATAATCTGATATGTTTTTATAAGATCTCCCCTCATTCTTCTGAATTCCGATGAGTATAATCCCAGCCTACTCAGTCTCTCCTCATCAGCCAACCCTCTCAACTCTGGAATCAACCGAGTGAATCTCCTCTGCACTCCCTCCAATGCTGGTATATCTCGGATATATTCTCACGATGCCTCAGAGATAAAATGTCCTTGAAAATTTTAAGTTGGGAGCGTCTGATTTAGAAGGGACCTGAGGGGCAACTTTTTCTTACACAGGTTGGTACGTGTATGGAATGAGCTGCCAGAGGAAGTGGTGGAGGCTGACACAATTACAACATTGGATGGGTACATGAGTAGGAAGGGTTTAGAGGGATATAGGCCAAATGCAGGCAAATGGGACTAGTTCAGTTTAGGAAACCTAGTTGGCATGGACGAGTTGGGCCAAAGGGCCTGATTCTGACTCTATGCTGATAAAAGGAAGATCTGTACTGCGTTTGGGGATCTGCTTATCCTACATAGGAACAAGAGTCAACAATTGAATGTGCAAAACTGTTTAGTCATTCACTTACATAATTCCTGATCTGTATCTTAACTTTGTTTATCAGTTCCACTGCTACAAGACTTGAGGGACTAATGAAGTTTGCAGCTGCTACAGTACACAGTTTTCACCATATCTGTCTAATTTGAATGAGTTTAAAGTTTGGTATCAGTGTGGTATAGTATTTCCTCCATCCACCTAACTACAGAGATTGAGGAGTATTGTGCGGCAGAATATGCGGTAATATGTAAATTCCGAAACTGTTGACCTTGTTACCCTATAAATTACCATTGTGATGTGGGCTTTGCGTCCTTCTCGGCTTTTGGACCTGATGTGGCAATGCTTATTTTAGCTCCAACATTTTTCACCAACCTGTCATGCTTCATTTGGCTCCCCAGATAAGATGGAGCCTGAGACCTTTATACATTCAGGTCACATGCTGTATTAGTGATGCTATCATGAACATGTCTCTTAAAGATAGTGTACTATGAGACGTAACACAATACCCTTTAGATAGTACATACTGCGATGTCCACTTGTGCGAATAGTTAATAGCTGTGCTTTTAAAAACCCAGTTCAAAAGGCAGGGAGATAAGATGGGGCAGATCAGCCCAGTTATTATTACTGGTGTTCAAAACCTGAGGGTACCACCTGGAGGAATTCAAGTTCTTGTATCTAGCACAGCTTTCAGAAGCTTCAAGTCTGAAATTGTGATAAGAGTTATCACACCAAAAAAAAATTTCATTTGGGACTCCATTTAGGGTGGCACGGTGGCTCAGTGGTTAGCAGTGCTGCCTCACAGCCCCAGGGACCTGGGTTTGATTCCACCCTCCGGCAATTGTCTGCGTGGAGTTGGCACATTCTCCCCATGTCTGCAGGGTTTTCCTCCAGGTGCTCTGGTTTCCTCCCACAGTCCAAATTTTAGATAGATTGGCCATGCTAAATTGCCCACAATGTCCAGAGATACGCATGCTAGGTGGATTAACCATGGGAAATGCAAGGTTACAGGAATTGTGGGGGTGTCTGGGTGGGATGCCCTTTGGAGGGTCAGTGTGAACTCGATGGTCTTCCACACCATAGGGATTCTATGATCCATGTACCCAGAGTGCCTCTGTGAGCCAGTAACAATGACTGACTCAAATAATTGCCTGTCAAGGTATCAATTAAATATTAAGTCAGGAAATGGGAAAGAATTTGAGGGGACAAGATGCACCAATGACAGGGAAGCACATGGCCCAAAACAAAAAGCCAATCCAATAACACATTTTTTCCTTCAAAGTTACCATGCATGAGACAGCATGTGCCGACAAAACAAAATTACTTGCATTAAATAAATCCTATTATTTTTGTGTGGCTAACTTATATTTTTCTCAGTTTTTCTTGTAGACTATCCAGCTGGGCATTTATAAAATATATGGGGAGGGGGAGGGGGGTGTGGAAGAAGCAATTCTGAGGAAACCACAAAATTGGTTAATTCATAATGGAAATAATTGCAAGAGGTTGACCCTTGTTTTAGCTTCATTCAGGAGCTTGGAGAATTGAAATGCAAATTTCATTTGAGATACCACTTCCAACTCTTGTGTTGAATACCTCCAAGCTATTGTCCATGTACTGCCGTTTGTTCCTATGCGACACTGTGATGACCAGACAGTTTACACACAGCCACTGAAAAGTGTGAGGGGACGTCAACAGTAAAAGCTGTTTCACTGCAGTTTCAGCTTTAACAACGACTCAAATCTAATGGAATTTGCGTCCTGGGTGGCAAAAGATCTGACATCATAAGATTGAAATATCAAAATTGATTGTCTAGAAATTAAATGTATAAGTAAACCTCTCTGTAAGAACAGAGAATCTGTAAGCCATGGTATGTCTAGGATAAAATTTTAAAGGTAAAATTGAGAATTGAGTGACAGCTGTACAGAGAGTGGTTACTAAAATTGACAGGGGCTGAGTGAGTTCTATCTCTGCATGATTAAACCAAGGAGCTTCTCATTTATAATCAACTCCCCCTCATTGCTGGGATCAGCATGCCCTTTCTCTGCTCATTCCCCAATGGGTCCATCATTCTTTTGCCAAAATGCTGCCCTTTCGATAACCTACCTGAAAATCTTACAAATCTTTCATTTTCAATCCCAGCTGGGTTGAATCCAATTACTGTAGCTTCTGAAAGCAATGCCCTCTTCAGAAAACCTGGATATTTGAACAGCTATCTGCTGTTGTGAACTTGAGATATACAGAAAAGCTTGATACTGGATTATTTTGACAGGGCAGTAGTCATACTGGGATCTTTGGTAGGGAGAGAGCAGTACAGGGAGGTGTAGATGCTACACTCATGCAGGCAAGTGGGGAATATTCCATCACACTCCTGACTTGTGCCTTGTAGTTGATGGAAAGGCTTTGGGGAGTCAGGAGGTGAGTTACTCGCTGCAGAATTCCTAGCTTTTGACCTCTTCTGGCTACAATATATGAATTCCCTTGCAAAACCTAAGTCAGTGGGAATCGGGGGCAAACTCTCTGCTGGTTGAAGTCATACCTGACACCTAGGAAAATGGTTGTTGTTGTTGCAGGTAGCCATCTCAGCTCCAGGACATCCCTGCAGGAGTTCCTCAGGGTGGTGTCCAAGGTCCAACCATCGTCAGCTGCTTCACCAGTGACCTCCAACACAAGGTCAGAAGTGGAGATGTTCGCCAGTGACTGCACAATTTCAGCACCATTCACAACTCTTAGATACTGGAACAAACCATGTACAAATGCAGCAAGACCTGGGAAATATCCAGGCTTGGGCTGAAAAGTGGCAAGTAACATTCGTGCCACACAGATGTCAGGCAATGACCGTCTTCAGCAAGAGAGAATCTAACCATCTCCTGATATTCAGTAGGGTTATTGTCACTTAACTCCCAGGATGTTGAGAGTGGGGGTTTACCGTTGACCAGAAACTGAACTGGACTCACCATGTAGAGTGGCTACAGGAGCAGATCAGAGATGAGGATTCCTACAGCAAGTAGCTTACCTTTCAACTCCCCAGAAGTTGCCCGCCATCTACAGGGCATGAGTCAGGAGTGTGATGGAATACTCCCCACTTGCCTGGATGAGTACAGCCCCAACAACACTCAAGAAGCTTGACACCATCCAAGACGAAGCAAGCTGCTCGATCGGCACCACATCCACAAACAACTACTCCCTCCACCACTGACGCTCAGTCGGAGCAATGTGTACTGTCTACTACATGCAATGCAGAAATTCATCAAGGGTTCTTGGACAGCACCTTCCAAACCCATGGCCACTACCATCCAGAAGGATAAGGCCAGAAGGTACATGGGGAAAACCAAACTGTAAGCTCCCCTCTAAGGCACTCGCTGTCCTGAATTGGAATTATATCACCATTCCTTCAGTATCACTGAGAAAAATCCTGGAATTCCCTCCCTAACAGCATTGTGAGCCTACCTACAGCACGTGGACTGCAGCATTTCAAGAAGACAGCTCACCACCACCTTCTCGAGGGCAACTAGGAGTGGGCAATAATTACTGGCCCAGCCATGAGTGAATTGAACAAAAAATGTCTTGCTCCGTTTCTGGTCAATGGTAACCCATTCGATGTTGAAGTGGGCGATTCAACAGTGGTAATGCCATTGAATGTCATGAGGTGATGGTTAGATTCCCTCTTGTTGAGGGATGGTTAGGGCTTCGCACTTTTGTCATTCATTTTACTTGCTATTTTTCAGTGCATACCTGGATCTTATCCAGGTCTTGCTGCATTTGTACATGGACTGCTTCAGTATTTGAAGAATCACAAATAGTACTGACCATTGTGCAGTTATCAATGAACATCCCCACTTCTGACGTTATAGAGAGAAAAACGGCTGGAGACGTTTGGACCTAGGACTTAAGGAACTCTTGCAGAAGTGTCCCAGAGTTGAACTAGGGTGTGGTGTGTGGTTGTGAGAGTTTCAGTCCAGATGGATAGATTGTCTGCACTCGTTATCACATTTTCACATGAGGAAAGAAAAGTTTGATGAAGTATCAGCGTGCAACTTATAACTGTACAACTGCATGGCAATGCCTCAGAGAACTACAAAATTGCTGTTAAATCATGCTCTGTTACAATGTCTGTCTTCTCCCTTATTTGTGTTCATTTACTCTGTATATCTCCTTATTTTTTCCCTGCAGGATTCTGGTTTGTATCTGAAGGAACTCATTGAGCCGGTTTTGACCTGTTTCAACGATGCTGATAGTCGATTGCGTTATTATGCCTGTGAGGCCCTTTACAATATAGTAAAGGTTGCCAGGGGCTCAGTCCTTCCTCATTTCAATGTACTGTTCAACGGTCTCAGTAAGGTAAGAGCAGCCAGCACATCAGTGTCAATTCTAGACTTCCTTAATAATTAAAACAAAACAAAACCAGTCATCGACTCGATACCTTAAAAACTGACCTGCGGGGGAGTGTAGTGACAAGAATGTACTACTGGATTATTGAAGCAAGGGCAAATGATTGTTACTTTTGTGAATTTGTCATTTGCAATTATTCTGCTCACCTATACCTTCCTAGTTTATAGTTCAAGAAGACAGCTCATCCAACACCACCTCAAGGGCAGCTGGAGATGAGCAATAATTGCTGGTCCAGTCATGAGTGAATTAAACAAAAAAAATGTCTAGCTGTGTTTCTGGTCAATGGTCACCCCCACAATATTATTGGGGGTAGCTGGTCACTGCCAAGTGGGGAAGAAAACAGTCACAACAAACCATGCCTTGTCTATGGCACTTTGTTTGTAGCCTGCTTGTCTCCTGCCTGCCCCTCATTCACCTTTATTTAACAAAAAAGGCATTTTGTTTCCTTTCGTTTGGGGCTGGCAGCACAATGAACTGAATAAGGGACCAATCATGGATTGAAGCCTTCAGCAGCTCGACCAAATCAGTCCTTACTGAGGATTAATTTCCCTAGGTACTGCTACCCCTCCCACTGCCTTCCTTCCCTCACAGCATCACTACTCTGAGTTGCTGGTAGGAGCATATGTGGAAGCTCCTATCCCCTATTCAGCTCCTTGGTGGTCCTCACCACCACTTTGCAATCACAATATTAATTGTACCTCTGTGGAGAAAGTCAATGAGGTTTGCACTTTTAAGAACACTAGATTTAATCTCTCAAAATTAAATTATACAGCCACGGACCATTGGAGAGTTTTAAAGTAAACCCCTCTCCCTATTGTCACTATCAGTCAAAAAGCAGATCGTGAATTGATATTTTCCCTTTTTTGTTTTAAACATTTGAGGTCAGAATTCCCCCACTCTCTCTGTGGGCTCTGATTTTACAAGGGCATACAATGCTGTGGTAAAATTTAAAGTTTGTTTCATACGCTTAAATGAGGGAGGAGAGATACTGCGCAATACGTGGAGACAGCAACTTGGAAAGCGATAAAACTAAAAGGAATAGGTGCAGGAGTAGGCCATTCAGCGCCTCGGAGCTGCTCTGCCATTTGATAGGATCGTGGCTGATGTGAGATTCCTTGCGTCCACTTTCCTGCCCTTTCCCCATAGCCTTTGATTCCCGACTGATCAAGAATCTGTCCATTTCAGCCTTAAATACGCACAAGGACTCTGCTCCTACAGCTCTCTGTGGCAAGGAGTTCCAAAGACACTCAGCCTTCAGAGGGGAAATTCCTCCTCATCTCAGTCCTAAATTGATGCCCCTTTACTCTGAGACTCTGCCTTCTAGTCCTAGCCTCTCCCACGAGGGAAAACAGCCTCTCAGCATTTACCCTGTTGAGCCCCTTGAGAGAGTCCCTTCAATGAGATCACCTCTCATTCTTCTAAACTCCACTGAGTAGAGTCCCAACCTGATTAGCCTCTGATCATAAGACAACCTGTCCATGCCAGAGTCAATACTGTGGAGCTGGAGGAGCGGAGCAGGAGAGTCAACGTTTCATCAGGACTGGGTGTGGAAGTGGGTGAAGGGAGCTCGGAAATAAATAGGGGGAGGGGGTGGGGCTGGGTGAAGATAGGTGGGATGGTGATAGGTGGATGCAGGTAGGGGGTTGTGGATATAGGTCATGGGAAGGGTGGGGTGGATAGGTGAGAAAGAAGATGGCCAGGTTGTGTCAAGTCAGGGAGGTGGGGATGAGAGGGAGGGCTGGATATGGGGTGAGGCTGGGGGTGGGGAGATTTTGAAACTGGTGAATTCTATGTTGAGGCCATCAGGCTGTAAGCTCCCGAGGTGGAATATGAGGTGTTGCTCCTCCAGTTTGTGTGGTGTCATTGATGAGGCCCAGGATGGACATGTTACCCAGGGAGTGGGAAGGGGAGTTAAAATGGTTGGCTATTGATTATGGCATACAGAGCGCAGATGCTCCACAAATCGGTCACCGAGTCTGTACTTGGTCTCACTGATGTAGAGGAGACCACATTGGGAGTAACGGATACAGTAGACTAGGTTAGAAGACGTACAGGTGAATCCATGTCGAATTTAGAAAGTTTTTTTTTTGAGGCCTTGGATGGAGATGAGGAGAGAGATGTAGGGGCACGTGTGGCACCTCCTTTGGTGCTGGGTGTGGCGGGGCTCAGGGCGAGTGTGGAGCAGATGAGGGAGTTGCGGAGTGAGTGGCCCCTACAGAAGGCAGATAGAGGTGGGGTGGGAAATATCTCTTTGGTGAAGGGGTCAGGTTGCAGCTGGCAGAAGTGGTGGAGGATGTGCTGGATGCAGAGGTTGGTGGGATGATATGATGACCAGGGGTATTCTGTCTTTATTTTTGTTTGCGGTGTGGTAGGGGTTTGAGAGCAGAAGTGCGGGAAATGCAAGAGATGCAGTTGAGGGCATTATGAATCACCGGAGGGAGGACGTTAAGGTCCTTGAGGAAGGCAGACATCTCGGATGTCCAGGAGTGGAATGCTTCATCTTGGGGGCAGAGGAGCGGGAATTAAGAATATGGGATTGCATTCTTGCAGGAGGGTAGGTGAGGGAAGATATAGTCAAGGTAGCTATTGGAGTCAGTTCATACCAGGGATCATTCTAGGAATCTTCTCTGAACTACCTCCAAAGAACTGATAACTTTCATTAAATAAGGGGTCCAAAACTGCTCACAGTACTCCAGATGTGGTCTCACTAGCACCTTTTACAGTCGCAGTAAGACTTCCCTACTCTTATGTTCCAACCCCCTTGAAATGAGGGCTAACATTCCATTCGCCTTCCTGATTACCTGCTGTCCCTGTGTTTTGTGCACAAGTACCCCCAAGGTCCTTTGCAGCTTTCTGTAGTTTTTCTCCATTTAAAGAATACTCTGTTCTCTTGTTCTCCCTTCCAAAATGAGCAACATCACATTTTCCCACATTATACTCCATTTATCAACTTTTTGGCCACTTACTTAACCTATCAAAATCTCCCTGTAAACTGTCTCGACCTGCTTCTCCTATTTTTGTGTTGACCACAAATTTGGCTGCAGTACATTCACTTCCTTCCTGCTAGTTTATTAATATATTCTGTAAACTATTGCAGTCCCAGCACTGATACCCCACTAATTACAGGTCACCAAACTTTTTTTAAAAAAAAAAGCGTTATCCCTTCTCACTGCTTCCTGCCCATATGGCAATTCTGTATCCACACCGATACATTATTTCCCACGCTATGGGCTCTCCTCTTATGACTTAACCTTTTATGAGGTACCTTGTTGAAAGCCTTCTGGAAGTCCAAATACAACACATCTGTTGGTTCTCTTCCATCCACTCTGGTTGAATCTTCCTCAAAAAACAGTAATAAATTAGTCAGACACTATTTTCTTTTTATGAAACCATGTTGATTCTGCTCAGTTAGGTTGATTTTCCAAATGTTCTGCTATTATTTCCTGAATAATTGAATCCAACACTTTTTTGCAACAGTAGATGTTAGGCTAACTGGCCTATCATTACATGCATTTCCCTCCTTACCTTTTTGAATAGGAGTGTCACATTAGCAGTTTTCCAGTCCTGTAATAATACTACAAAATCCAAAGATTTTTAGAAAGTTACAAGTGCATCCACCATCTGCATAGCTATTTATTTTAGGATTTTGGGATGGAAGCCCTCAGGGCCAGGGGACTTGCATGAGTTTAACCCCATTAGTTTGTCTAATGCTGCTTCTGTTGTAATGGTACTTAATTTCTCCCTTGTATTCTTTAGTATTAATGGGATGTTGGAAGTATCTTCCACTTTGCAGACTGATACAAAGTATCTGTTTAACTCCTCTGCCATTTCCTTGTTCCCCAAAACCCGCTCCCCAGATTCATTTTCTAAGGAACCCATGTACACTGACCTCGCTCTTATAAATTTAATGAAGCTCTTATTGTCAGGTTTTGTATTCCTTGCTAGTTTGCCCTCACAGTTGAGTTTCTCTGTCTTTATTATCTTTTTAATCCTCCTTTGCTGGAATCTGAATTTATCCAGTCTTTGAGGCTATCACTGACGTTGACCTCCTCAATGCTTTTTCTTTCAACTTCATACTCTCCTTAACTTCCTTGGTTAGCCATTATTGGTTTATCCTTCTTCGAATCCTTCCTCCTTACTGGGATGTATTTTTGCTAAGCATCATGAATTATTTCCTTTAAATGTTTGCCACTGCTTGCTTACTAAGATCCCTGCTAATCTATCTACTTGGTTCATTCTAGCTAACTATATCCTTGCTGCTTTTGTAATTCCCTTCATTAATTTAAGTTGAGCACTGTTGTTTCTGACCCAAGTTCCTCTCGCCCAAACTGAATATTAAATTCTATCATGTTATAATCACTACTTACCAGAGGATCTTTTATTCAGAGGTCATTTATTAAGCCTGCCTCGCTACCCATTACCAGATCTGAGAGAACCTCTTCCCTGGTCGTCCCCATGATGTGTTACTATTGCAGACTATGAATTCATTGTTATAGCTACCCTTTCCAATTTGATTAACCTAATCAACATGAAGATTAAAGTTACCCGTAATTGTTGCTCTATTCTTTTTACATGTTCCTATTGTTTACTGGTTTATACCCTTTCCTACAGAGTGGCAGCAGTTTGAGGGTCTGTACACAACTCCTACCAATGTTTTCTTTCCCTTGCTGTTTGTTACCTCTACCCAAGTGGAATCTTTATCGTAGAATCCCGATCATATAATCATCTGAGCCTCGATCATCTCTCATAACTGTCCTCATTTCATGTCTTATTAACAGCGCTACTCCACCACCTTTTCCATCCCATTGTTCTCACATTTCAATCACTTCATCTACGCTATTGGCAGCTTCTCTTCCTCAGCACTCCACCCCCACACCACTGCATAAATGTTATCCCCTGCACACTTCACATCAGCTCTGATGAAGGATCATCTAGACTTGAAACGTTAGCTTGTTCTCTGTCCACAGGTGCTGCCTGACCTGCTGTGATCTCCAGCATTTTTCGTTTTCCGTACAGATTTTGGCATCTGCAGTAATTTGTTCCTACCTTTTTCTGACCTTCCTGTTTTTCTGAAAGGTCAAATATCCCTGAATGTGAAGTTCCCAGTTTTGATCTCCTTGTAACCATATTTCTGCAACAGCTATGAGATCATAGTTGTTTACCTTGATTTGTGCCATCAGTTCATTATTCTGAGTGCTTCGTACATTGAGATACAAAGTCTTTAAGTTTGTTCTATTATCAGATGTCCTTTTTTTTATGGTTTCTTGATACAATGTGACATTTGTGCATTCTGTACCTTTCTTTGGTTTTCTGGTAACAATCAACCCCATCACTAACCTACAATTCTACCTTCTCTTTTACCTTTGATTTTATCATTTTCTGTACAACTGAGCACCCCTGCTATGATTTAGCTTCAAGCCCTATCCACAACCCTAGTTCTGCAATTTGCCAGGACTCTGGCCCCAGCATGATTCTGGTCGAGCCCATCCCACTGCAACAGCTCCCTCCTTCCTGGTGCCAATCTCCAATGAATTTGGATCTGTTTCTTCTACACTAATCTTTGAGCCACACATTCACCTATTTAATCTTGTGACCTCTTGCCAATTTGCTCGTGGCTGAGGTAGTAAGCCGGAGATTATTCCCTTTTTGGTTCTGCTTTTTAATTTAGCCCTTAGCCACTCATGTTCCCTCAGCAGAACCTCCATCCTCTTTCTACCTATTATCATAGTGCCTACATGGGCCATGACAACTGGATCTTTCCCCTCTGCTCCAGGTACAGATCAGATGAGATATCCTGAACTTGGGCACCAGGCAGGTGACTCGGCCTTCGGGATGCTCTATCCTGGCCACAGAGAACAGTGTCCATTCCTCTGACTACTATCCCAATGTCAACTGCATTCCTCTTTCCTCACCCTCTTGAATGGCTCCCTGTACAAATGTGCTATGGTCAGTTTGCTCATCCTTCCTACAGCCCCTGTTCTCATCCAGACAGGAGCAAGGATCTCAAACCTGTTAGATAAGTTCAAGGGCTGAGGCTCCTTCAGCACTACCTCTTGGATCCCTCTACCTGCCTCGCTCATAGTCACACCCTCCTGTCCCTGACCACTGTCCGAATTAGAGGTACTTGATCAAAGGGATGTGACTGCCTCCTGAAGCACGGCATCCGGGGAACTGTCTTCCTCCCTGATGTGTTAGTGTTTGAAGCTCCAATTCCAGCTCATCAACTCTGAGCCCAAGTTTCTCAAGCAACCGACACTTGCTATGGGTGTGGTCCTGTGAATTACAATGGGGTCCGCAGCTCCGACATCATGCAGGGGTTATGTCTCATTCAGCGGGTGTCATCTTTCCTTCCTAACCATGTGAAACTTACTGATAGAGATTATTCAGTTCATAAAAACTTAAATACAATAGTAAACAACAAGGGGTACCAATTTAATAATGCTCTTGTTTTTTAAGATAGAATAAAATAGAACAAAGAGCTGTGGATGCTGAAGATGCACAGCTGGACAAACTCGGCAAGTCTGGCAGCATCTGTGGAGAGAAAACAGAGTTAATGTTTTGGGTCTAGTGACCCTTCTTCAGAACTTCTTAATAGCTAGGAAAAAGCAATATATATGCTGGAGACAGGTGGGGAGGGCAGAAGTGTGCAGATAGGTGATGATGGAGACCAGAGAGAGCAAAAGACAGTAAGGCACAGAAAGGGATGGTTGTTTGTAAGCCAGGGACGGAGAAAAGCTGATAATGGGGACATTGACTAGGTTTCCATTATGCTTGGCACCTCTGGCTTATCCTGAACCTTTTTAACAAGGACCATTTTGGTTAAACAGATGCCGTTCGATAAAGGGCTTTTGACATGAGTTTGCTAGTGACTTCTGGTGTTTCCCATTGCATAATCCAATTGAAGGAAGAAGAAAATGTATTGAAGAAATCCCCAGATTCTCTGAGCTGTCCTAACCAAAGCCTGTCTCCCCTGCAGTCTTCAGAGTCATTAACAGTCATTTAATTTCTGTAATTTACCATTTCATTGTAGTGATGCTGGAGTTAAATCCAAATCCCTAACAATAGTTACTCAGTAATATGTTTGTTTTACACAGTTGGCTGCAGATCCAGATCCCAATGTTAAAAGTGGTTCCGAATTGCTGGATCGATTATTAAAGGTAGGCATCCAAACTTGCTGCTGGGCAGAGACTTGTGTTTGGATTGGGAGTGCACTCATCTCTCATCATAAGCATCTCGTACCTGTGTTTCATATCCAAGATCAATTTAACATAGAACATTATGGTTCACAATTCTTAATTCTTCGCTGTATCATCGTCAGCACACTTGTGGAGAAGCCTAGTTGTAATTACGCAAGATGAAAAGTGAGGGTGTCTCTTACTTTCCAATCTTCAAGTACATATCCCAGGTGAGGATAGGAAATTGCATGATTCCCTTTTGTGTTTTAAAAACATAAATTCTGACCTTCAGTTGATAGATAAAAGGACGATAAAGCAAGATTTCACGTTTTAAGACATTAATTGTAACAAACAGGTTAAAAACCCTTTGTCTGAAAACTATTTATAAACTACAGAATAGAATTTTTCCCCTGTTCCTCTTAGCATAACTGAAAAACCCAATTCACTGGTACACTTTACACTATGAACTAGTCATTGGAATCTCCTCACCCAGTCCAAAGTGATTCTTAGCTCCTGAGGGTTTACTTTGCTTCCTTACCAAGCTGGGAAAGGTAACTCTTACCCTAGAACTATCTTTTATTGAGTTTTTCCGGCTGGGCGCAAGATAGATTAATCTCCAATCCCAGTTTCAAATCTTCAGAACTTGAGTTATTCAATATGAACATCAGCTCCCAATGTATTCCTGAGCAGTGCACCATCAGAACTCACCGTTTTTTGGCGAGTCCCTCTCTCCCAGATCCTGACAGGCTAACTTCTATCTTACTTTCAATGATATTTTAAGAAAGCCTGTAACCCAATCTGACAATGGCTTTCCCTACACCTATCCTCTATCAGATCCCGTGTGCATGGCAATATGAATCACTGCGACATGTAGAAATGCTGTCTAACTGTTCTATAAGCCCCAGGTCTATTCTATCTTGGACTGTTTAAAGCATAACTGTTTACTGTCTGCCAATCTCATCACCTTGGGCACTGTAGAATACTGTTTTAATGTTGTAAATGCAGATGCTACTGCGAGTTCCTCCACTTGTGTGAACTCCTGGCACCACCTTCGCAGTGAATCAGTCTGGTTTTCCTTTTAAACGCCCCTCACTGGCAGGCAGACCCAGGAACTGTGGATATGCAAAAATGAAATTGGGGCGGCATGATGGCTCAATGGTTAGCACTGCTGCCTCGCAGCATCAGGGAGCCAGGTTCGATTCCAGCCTCGGGTGACTGTCTGTGTGGAGTTTGCACATTCTCCCAATGTCTGCGTGGGTTTTCTCTGGGTCTCCGGTTTCCCCCCTCAGCCCAAAGATGTGCAGGTTAGGTGGATTGACCATGCTAAGTTGCCCAAAGTGTCCAGGGATGTGCAGGTTCGGTGGGTTAGCCATGGGAAATGCAGGATGACAGGGATAGGGTAGGGGGTGGGTCTGAGTGGGTTGCCCTTCAGAGGGTCGGTGTGGACTCGATGGACCAAATGACCTGCTTCCACACTGTAGGGATTCTATGAAAAATGAGAGTACTTTGTCCACAGGTAAAATAACGATGAGCTACAAGTTGCCGTTTGGCTGCTGTGATGGAGGGCTTCACTGGCCACAGAAGTAAATTTATGTTCTTTGTAGCTTATCCACTGCAACAGGCAGTGTTTAACGAAATTGCTTCCTTGCTACCGTTGATCTGCTATGAGAGACCAGAGTTGAGAGAATATGTGTAAGAGGAGCGTCGGCACTTTTGTTGGCATCTGCTTTTGACATGTTGCAAAGTATTTTTAGTTTGCCAGCTATATCTAAGAATGAGAGGCTTTCACAGTTTGAGATCATTCCATGGCATTTTACAGTCAATGGAGTACTTTATTAAGTGTAGTCATTGTCGTAATGTAGGAAACACAGCAGTCAAGTTGCGCACGGCGAGTTTCACAAACAGTGTGATAATGTCCTGATAGTCTATTTTATTGTTGTTTGAGGGATTATGATTGTGGTGGAAGAACTCTGTTCTCTTTGAAATAAAGCAGTGGATTCTTCTGCCCATCTGAAAGGGCAGCTGTGGCCTCTGTATAGTGTCTCATTTGAGATGTCTCAAAATATGTTTGAAATATGGGTCAAGACCAAAGGCAGCACAGTGCTAAGTATTGCAAACCCTGTCTGACCTTTTTAATTCTTTGTCAACACTCAGTCAGTTTCATGCAAGACCTTCCCACAGAATTTTTGTTTTGTGTATCCCGATGCATGTTTTTTTATCATAAAAACTGAAGAAATGAGGATGCTGGAAATCCGAAATTGCTGGAAAAACACAGCAGGTTGGCAGCATCTGTGAAAAGGAAGCAGAGTTAACACTTCAGGTTCAGTGACCCTTCTTCTGTTTTGAAGTAGGGTCGTTGAAGCCAAAACGTTAACTCCACTTTCTCTCCATAGACGCTGCCAGACGTGTGCTTTTCCAGCAATTTTTGTTTTTATTTCTGGTTTTTGATAATTTTGAGATGTTTCAGAATAAGTGATTTCCTCACGTGGAGTTATGAAGTTGTTTTTCACTTCACTCTGCATGTGAAATGTTTAATGTGAATGTATTATACCTTAGCTGTCATACCCAATAACTGTTTAGTCCACGATGGGTGATTAAATCGTGGTGTCATTTCTTATTTCACAGGATATTGTCACAGAAAGTTCCAAATTTGACCTCGTGGCCTTTGTCCCCCTCTTGAGAGAGCGGATTTATTCCAACAATCAGTATGCAAGACAATTCATCATCTCCTGGGTGAGTTCCAAAAAGTGTTTGTAGCAGCGTGTGCTGGTATAATTGGCAGATTGATACAGTGGTTCAAGTATTTTAAAACTAAGAACGAAGGTAACCTTCCTACTGCCAGTCTAGCAGCATTGATTTGGATGGCACATTTTAGCTGAGGACTCATCAATGTATTATTTACATCAGTGTCTCTTCTGACTGAACCATGTGGAGCAAATGATCCAATATGAGCACTGTTCCCACTGACATTCCTAGCACCTGAGCTGTTCAGCAGTCACCTCCTGTGCTTGCATTCGTGACCAGGGCTATTTGCATCAGGAAACTTTTTTATTTCAATATCCCTCCCCCACCCCCCAATGCTTCAAAATGCATCGAGTATGTTCATGTTGACGTTTTGGATTTAAATCTGAGCTACTAGATACTTTTGGGATTTGGGTGGGGCTGTGTTTGAGCATTGTCCGCTTTTGTACTATTTTCAAGCTTGGTTATCTTTGCAGATCCTGGTATTGGAATGTGTTCCTGACATTAACCTGCTGGACTATTTGCCAGAAATCCTGGATGGACTGTTTCAGATTCTTGGTGATAACAGTAGAGAGATCCGTAAAATGTGAGTGTGGGTGATTTGCACATTGTGATTCATTGATGGTGTTTGTTTTCTTAAACTTTGGAAATGGTGTGTTCATCCAGATGTGAGCTGTCAATCTTCTCTTCTACATATCTCAGATGTTCAGCATTAAGAAGCCACAGCTCTGGTATGGTGTTGACATCTCCCAATGCTACCTGTAACAGTTACTATAAACCCTCAAATGCAATTGATCAAAGTCAATTCTAATGTTGAGTTGCAGTCAGAAGTGTTCAACTCCATTATAGGTTGATCAAAACCAAATTCATCTAAGTGGAGCAGCACATGGGTTAATGAATGCCTTTCAGGGGAAAGGGGCAAGATGCAGAAATTGAGATCAAATTTCAATACAGAGTAGATTCACGGAGTTTTAACTAGAAACCTTGGTCAGAGTACCAATTCAGCATGTTTAGTTCTTCAATCGATATTAGAGTTAACTCTGACCTAATGGGTACATAACATGTTAGACAAGGATGGCTATTGGTTAGTGATTGTATCAAACTGTCAAAGTGGGCTCTGTAACTAGGGAGATTGCAGAACAAGTTGGGAGGACCACTTTGAATTGACATGTGCTGAATTGAGCAAGGAGGTCTTGGCTGATTTTACTGGTTGCCTTCCAGCTGGAGACAGAATAGGGAACTGACGAAAGCCGTAGGCACTGTTGTAAAAGAGGTGAAACAGCAAGTTATAGAGTCATGCAGCACGGAAACAGATCCTTCGGTCCAACCAGTCCATGCCAAACATAATCCCAAGCTAAACTAGTGCCACCTGCCTGCCTCTGGCTCATATCTCTCCAAACCTTTCCTATTCATATATCCATCCAAATGTCTTTTAAGCGCATCCACCACTTCATCGGGAAGTTCATTCCACACACAAACCATCCTCTGTAAAAAAAAATTTGCCTCTTATGTCTGTTTAAAACTCTCTCCTCTCACCTGAAAAATGTGTCCCCAAGTTTTGAAATTCCCATCCAAGGGAAAAGGCAACTACCGTCAACTCTATCTATACCCCTCATTATTTTATAAACTTCAATCCCGTCACCTCTCAACCTCCTATGCTCCAGTGAAAAAAAGTCCCAGCCTATCCAGCCTTTCCTTATAACTTGAACCTTCCATACCTGGCAACATCCTGGTAAATCTCCTAAATCTTGTCCAGTTTAATAATATCCTTCCTATAGTGGGGCAACCAGAACTGGACACAGATTCCAAAAGAGGCCTCACCAATGTCCTGTACACCTCAACACACCCAACTCCTATACTCAATGGACTGAGCAATGAAGGCAAGTGTGCCAAATGCCTTTTTAACCATCCATTCTATTTGTGATGCAAACCTCAAAGAATTATGTATCTGCACCCCTAGGTCCCTTTGTTCTACAACACTACGCAAGGCCCTACCGTTAATGTATAAGCCCTACCCTTGTACCAAAATGCAACACATCACATTTATCCAGAATGAACTCCATCAGCCATTTTTCAGCCCATTGACCCATTTGATCAAGATCCCTTTGTAATTGTAGAGAAACTTCTTCACTGTCTACAATGCCACCAATTCTGGTGATGTCTGCAAACTTACTAGCTATGCCTTCTATATTCTCATCCAAATCATTTATATAAATGACAAACAAAAGAGGACCCAAAACAGATCCCTGCTGGGCACAGGCCTCCAGTCTGAAAAGCAACCCTCACTGTCTCCTGCTGTTAATCCAATTATGTATCCAATTGGCAAGGTTGCCCTGAATCCCATGTGACCTAACTTTATTAATTAGTCTACCATGTGGAACCTTGTCAGAGGCTTTACTGAAATCCAAATAAATAATGTCTACTGCTCAGCCACCATCAGTCTTCTGGGTAACTTCCTCAAAAAACTCAACCAAGCCTGTGAGACACGATTTTTCTCGGACAAAACTGTGCTGACTATCCCTAATCAATTTTTGCCTCTATAAATGTCCATAAATCCCATCTTTTATAATCACCTCCAACAATTTATCCACAACCAAAGTCAGACTCACAGGTCTTTAGTTCCCTGGTTTCTCCTTACAAACTTTCTTAAAGGTACAGCATTAACCACTCTCCAATCATCAGGCACCTCACTTGTAGTTATAAATGATGCAAATATTTCTGCAAGGGGTCTTGTAATTTCCTCCCTTACCTCCCACAACTTTCTGGAATACATTAGTTCAGGTCCCGGAGATTTACCCACCTTAATAATCTCTAAGAGCTCCTGAACTTCCTCTTCTGTAATGTGAACTGTTTTGAAAACACAGAAGTTTATTCCTCCGCATTCTCTAAACTCCATTTCTTTTTCCACAGTAAAAACTGATGCAAAATATTCATTTAGTCCCAACTCCTGGGGTTCAACAGTGAGGTGATTTGGAGCAGCTCGGATCTTGTGGCTGCTTTTGGGATTGCAGGCTTGGTTAAAGATTTATTATATATATTTTTACAGTTTTAGTTGTTATGGTCATTATAGTTCATTAATAAGATTTTTCCATTTTGTTTTATTAACATTCAAAAAACAACCAAGAAAGCAAAACAAATCACACTTTTTTTGCAAATGGACTTTCGTTTAAAATGTTTAAGGGTCTACAGTGAACAGCTGAGTTTTTTTTTTAAATTTTCAATTCAGAAATTAAAAAGGGGCAAAAAACATCAGTGGGTGTCATATATAGACCCCCAAACTGCAGTGGTGATTTTGGGAATGGCATTAAACAGGAAATTAGAGATGCGTGTGATCAGGGAATAATGTGGATTGTGGGTGATTTTAATCTGCACGTAGTTTGGGTAAATCAAATTAGCCACAATGCTGTTGAGGAATTCCTGGAGTGTATTCAGGATGGTTTTCTTGACCAGTATGTGGAGGAACCAACTAGAGAGCAGGCCATCTTAGACTGAGTACTGTGTAATGAGAAGGGAATCATTGCCAATCTAGCTTGACCGTTAAATACGAAGTGTGTAGTGAGGCAGAGGTGTAGTAGTTTAAGTATGTTGTCTTTGCTGATGGAGCTGCTGGTCCTGTAGATGAAGCAACAACACAGAACAGCAGCCCCATCAGCAAAGACAACATACTTAAACGACTAGGCCTCTGGCTCACCACACACTTCGTTTTTAATGGTCAAGTATACAAACAGATCGACGGTACAGCAATGGAGTCACCCATTTCAGGACTCATTGCAGAAGCAGTCATGCAAAGACTAGAACGCACCACCCTCCCCCACATTCAACCTAAACTGTGGATCTAGTACGTAGATGACACCATTTGTCATTATTAAATGCAACAAATTAGAGACCCAACACCTCATCAACAGCGTATTTGCAGGGATTAAATTCATGAGGGAGGAAGAAAACAGCAATCAATGTCTGTTTCTGGATGTTAAAGTTGAGCGTATGACCAACGGGGAGTTCCAAACCTCACTATACAGGAAAGCAACCCATACAGGTCAAATCCACCACTTCCACAGCACCCACCCAATGTCCACAAATGAAGCTGCATTCGGACACTATTAAACGGGCCACGACACACTGCAATGCTCTGGAATTATGCAGGAAAGAGGAACAGCACCTATACGAAATCCTTGCTATAAACGGATATCCCTGCAACTTCATCCACAGATGCCTACATAACAGGCAACAACAGGAGGACACAAACTGCCGTACATCAAGAACATATCGGAACTGACAACAAGACACCTAAGACCACTAGGAATCATGGTGGTCCACAAGCCCACAGCCACTCTACGACAAACACTTACAAGGATTAAAGACCCCATTCCCACAACATGCAGAATGACCGTGGTTTACAAAATACCATGCAACGACTGCCACAACATTACGTCAGACAGACAGGAGGAAACTAGCCATCAGAATACACGAAGCTAAGCTAGCAGCAAAGCGGCACAACAAACATTCCCTAATATCAGTACACTCAGACAGTGAAGGCCAACAGTTTAACTGGGACAATGTAACCATAGTAGCCCAAGCCAAACATAGACACGCACGGGAATTCCTAGAGGCATTGTTCTCCACCCATACTTCAATCAACAAACGTATAGAATTGGACCCCATATACAACCCCATACTGATCAAAACCGGAAATGGCAGTACTCACCACAACGGACCGGACAGTATAAATTCCAAACGGAGTAGAATAACATCGCTTCATCGGAGGCTCCACTGATGATGTCACCGAGCCTGGTGACGAAACGTCTGAATGAGAACAAGCCAGCTCGGCGAGCAAGTCAACAACCTCACCCACAACCCGAGCTACAGATCTTTGCCAATACTTTAAGGAATTATTTTTATTCAGTTAATCAGCTAAGTGGTTGATTTTATTTACTTTTTATATGTTTTTAATTTTTTTCCATTTAACATTATTTTCTGTAGGCAATGAAAGGTAGTTTATTTTATATATATATGGTGTTATTAAAACATTTTTTTTTAGGGCTTAATGTAATTAAGGCCATACATAAGGAACAGGGTGAGATGGCTAGTAGATTTAGAAAAGTTATTGCCCAGCAGGATCAGTCAGATGGATGGGTGACTGTCAGGAAAGGTAAGAAGGAAGTTCAAAAGTCTCTGGTGGCTATTCCTCTATCAAATAGATATTCAGGTTTTGGAGCAGTTGAAGGAGATGGTCTCCCCGAGGGAAATGGAAGGGCCAGTCAGTTATTGGATGCTTGGAGCTATTCTTATGTCAGGCAGCATTTGACAAGATTTGATAGAATTATGCTTCTAGGGGACTGTCCTGTCAGGGGCATAGACAGGTGATTCTGTGGCAGTGAGCATAAATTTTAGGATGGTTTGTGGCTTTCCTGGTGCTAGGATCAAGTATGATTCAAGCATATTGTTAAAGGTGAGATTGAGAAGCCAGAAATTTATTTACACGTTGATAGGAGTTACTTTTTTTTAAGAGAAAAGATTAAAGCAGTACCGAGTGAATTTGAGAGAAAGTAGTAATTTCGGGTTTAGTCCCAATGCCAAACTCAAACGAGGGAAGGAACAAAAGGTTAAAGGAGATAAATCAATGGCTGAAGAGCCAGTGTATTGTTCAGGGAGTCAGGTTTTTGAGACAATTGGAATGTCTTCTGGGATAGAAAAGAAATATTCAAAAGGATGGGCCTAACCTAAACTTAAAAAGGAACCAATATCTTAGCGGGGAGATTTGCTCATTTTATTAAGGGAGACTTTATACTGATAGAATTCCTCCACACGCCTTCTCTGAGTAACAGGGTAAATGGAAGACTTGATGAGGTAGGTTCTGAATGTGAGGAAGGCATGTCAATTAAAAAAAACAAGGCAAGGGAGAGTCAGAATATCTAGTAACTCTGAAGAACTAAATTACGTTTATTTCAATGCAAGGAGTCTTACAGGTAAGGCTGATGAACTTCGGGCATGGGATTGGGACGTCATAGATATCGTAGAAATGTGGCTGAGAGATGGATAAGACTGGCAGCTCAATGTTCCTGGTTTTAGATGCTGTAGGAAGGATAAGAAAGGAGGGGGTTGGTGGCATTTTTAATTAAGGAATACATTACTGCTGTAACTTGGTAAGATATTTACGAAAAATCATCCAGTGAAATTACAAATAAGAAAGGAAAGATCATGTTGATGGGATTGTACTCTCTGCCCCTCAATAGTAAGGCAGAAATTGCAAAACAAATATGTAGGGAGTTCTCAGATATATGTCAGCATAATAAGATTGCAGTAATGGCGGATTTTAATTTTCCAAACATTGACTTGCGCTACCAGTGTTAGAAGTTTGGATGGTGAAGAATTTGTCAAATGTGCTTCAGAAAATTTTCTTTACCAATGTGTGGATGCTCCTACTGGAGAAAGAGCAAAACTAGAGCTTCTTTTGGGCAATAAGGCAGGGCAGGTGACTGAAGTAAAAGTGGGGCAACACTTTGGGTCTAGCGATCATAATTCTATTAGTTTGAAAATGATTATGGAAAATTATAAGTCATCCATAACAATTAAAGTTCTTAACTGGAGTAAGGCAAATTTTAATTGTGTGAGACAAGAACTTTCAAAAGTTGATTGCAGCAGACTGTTCGCAGGTAAAAGGATGTCTGACAAGTGGGAGGCTTTCAAGAGTTGATGACAAAGAGTTCAGAGGCATTTTATTCCTATTAGAGTGAAGAGTGGGACTGGTAAGATTAAGGAACAATGGATTAATAAAGATGTTGAGGTTCTAGTCAAGAATAAAATAATTTTTTTTAGGTATAGACAGTTTTGTTCAATTGAATCTCTTAATCTTTATAAAGAGTGTAGGGGCATTCTTAAAGAAATCAGGAAGGCAAAGCGGGTATATGAGATAGCAATGGCAGATAAAGTTAAGGATAATCCAAAGAGATTCTACAAATACATCTAGAGCAAGAGAGTAACTAGAGAGGGGGTTGGGCTTCTTAAAGATCAAGGAGGTCGTCCTTGTTGATTGAGATAGGCAGCTTTGATCACAGGGAACTTTTCAGATGGCTATGACCCAGCCTGCTGAGTGGAGTTTGCCCAGTGACAGTGCACTAAGTTTGATCCAACCATGATTTGGCTTTCCAGTAAGTCAGTCAGGGGTTGTGAGTAGTGTTCTTGTTAAGCTATGTACGTGTAGAGCTGTGAAGCACCCTGCAACATACCACTCAGAACTTGTTTAAATACCGTGCATGTGAGGTTGTGCAGTGAAATTTAGAGGCATGTTTCATTGAAAATGTTGACCGTGTCCAAGAAGGGCGTTTTGCAGGACACATTGGATGTGAGCAGTGTTGCTCAAATAATGAAATCTTTAAGAAATTCCACTATGTTCCCAATAAAGGCATCGTGACCACCGTCTAGGGTTGTGTAATTCAACACTTTGCTTTGCAGATATTTTACAAAATCAATTTCTTGAGAAAGGCACAATGTCGGTCCCTACGCGTCTGCAGGGATTTTTTTTTAAAAAGTCTTTATATACTGTACAGACTGCTGGATGTTTTCCCCATCCTGATCTGGGGTGCTGAAGGTATTATCCCTGTACACAGCTAGATGTGATCAGCTAACTCCGCGCAGGCTGCTGATTAATCCTACAGCTTTGCTGACGTGCACTGTTAGGCAAAATCATCATTACAAGCTCAGGGTGGGATGATTCTGTATTTACTGCTTTCTGCCTGCAACTTAATCTTCAGGATTCCTGGATAACATTCTTAACTTGCCTCTAGGTGTGAGACTGTCCTTGTTGAGTTTTTGAAAGAGATCAAGAAAAACCCTTCAAGTGTCAAATTTGCTGAAATGGCCAACATCTTGGTCATCCACTGCCAGGCCTCTGGTGAGTTCCCTTCCACAACCTTGCAGTACCCTGCTGTTCCTCCTTTTTCCCCCGCTCTGACTCTCACCTTCACTTCACTTCTTCTCCACCCACCACTTTCTCTTCCCCTCTCCCATTACCACCCCTGCTCCCCACAGTCGTTTTACCACATGCTAATTTGGCACATAATCCTAAATCTGCCTGTACTGCACAGAAAACAAAACTTTTCACTCAACATAGGTACATGTGACCATAATTAATCAAATCAAATAATTGGCTGAGCCACTACACATGATAGCGTATTCACATTTGGCTGAACTCTTCGCTGTTGTAGCAACACGGCTTGCGGTTGAGGTTAAAAATTAAAGTTGCCTTCATCTGCCTGTGCTGGCTCTCCAGATATTTCTGTGAGGGTAACAGATTCTAGTAATATTATTTTGTACTAAGCTAGACAGCGTAATCTGGAGAGGACTGCAGACCAAAATGGTACAGTGGGTTAAACCCAGTGCCCCTTCACTATGGGGGAGCCTGGATTCTAATCTAGTCCTGACTGGGAGGACAGTCTTCTGAAGATTGTAAGAACACTTGAGATGGCATTGGAAATCTCAGTCTAACTCCAAATGGCTGTGTATCCATATTGAAGAATTATTCACACTTCGCAGATTTATACTGAGCCGGAGGTTGTTTTCACTGGTGTTGAAAGGAAAGATGTTATTCTTTTGACCTGAAACTTGAAGCCAAGTGTAGTCTTCAAACAGCATTTGTAGAGCTGGGGAACAGTCTTTTGAGCTGGCAGCAACCAATTTCTTATGTCCATTTTGTCAGTGCTGTTTGCAGCCTGGGCCAAATACAAGGAGTTTTGCTCTGATCATTCTAAACCTGACTTGAAAGTGCTTAACACAGTTACTATTCCTAAAACGTGCACGTTCATTTCCTCGCTTTAAACATTTCTCATAAATAAGTAATGCGCAACTGTCTTGGAACAGCATGCAAAGTTTAAACCCTGCCCAGCTTTTGGTTACTGTATCTCATTGAGCCAGGGTGCTATGAGAGTTGTGGTTATACTGCCTTTGCCTGTTCTCGCTTGCTTCCCACAGATGACTTGATTCAACTGACTGCAATGACTTGGATGCGGGAGTTCATCCAGTTAGCTGGTCGTGTGATGCTGCCGTACTCCTCAGGAATCCTGACGGCCGTTCTACCATGCCTCTCCTACGATGACAGGAAGAAAAGTATCCTTTTCTCGAGTTAGACACTGAGCACGTTACCCACCTCTGATTATACGTACTTACTGTGAGGGAAGAGACTGCGGGTTTTGCTACAGTGCCTTTCTTGGGACTTCCTGCACAATGATTCTTTTTCAAACTTCTTGGTTTCTCTCCTATTGGCCTAATCTATAACTGAGGTATCGGTCAGACACTATTTAAATTGAGTGTCATTTCCCCTTGAGCAATGCTCAGTTTTTTATTTAGCTGTTGGGATGTGGGTGCCATTGGCATTGGTTGCCCATCCCTAATTGCCCCTGAACTGAGTGGCATGTTCAGCCATTTCAAAGGGCAGTTCAATCAGAACCACATTGCTGTGGGTCTGGAGCTAAATGGAGGCTAGACCAGGTATGGGCAGCACATTTCATTCCCTCAAGGACATCGGTGAACCAGATAATGATCAGTAGTTTGTAAGAACCCCCTAGTTTGCATATTATCTCCAGACTGTTATTCTGGCTCAGAAGCGTTAACTTCTGTCTCATTCCGAACAGTGCCAAATCACCTTTATAGAATTATAAAATCCTTAGTGTGGAAGCAGGTCATTTGGCCCATCAAGTCCACACTGACCTCTCCGAAGAGCATTCCACCCAGACCCAACCACCTACCCTGTCCCTGTAACCCTGCATTTGCTATGGTTAATCCACGTAACCTGCACGTCTTTGGACTATGGGAGGAAACCGGAGTACCCGGAGGGAACCCACACAGACGCGGAGAATGTGCAAACTCCACCAGACAGTCACCCGAGGGTGAAATTGAACCTTGGTCCCTGGCGCTGAGAGGCAGCGGCGCTAACCACTGAGCCACTGTGCTGCCCAACCATCCGGTTACCTCCTAGCCCCTGCGGACAAACTAAGAATCGTGAGCCTTTTACCCCATTATGTCTTCCTTTGTCCATTGATCTCCAGTTTCATAAATCTGACAGCCCGGTGTGTGCTGTGGTGGCAAGTAATGTTGGGAATGAAGCAAAGATGATGTCATACACAGGCTGGAACTCCTTCCTAAGGCTGATCTCAGCCCCTTAAGCATTTGGCTGATCCTGTTCTAGAGGCCAGCTGTGTCCTAAGTGGAGGCTGGGGAAACCATATTGTTCTCTCTTGTAGTCTCAGTGGATCAGTGGCATTACTTTCGCCAAAATTCCTGCCAGCACCCTCTGAGCCAGTAGGTTAATACTTGGTCTTCCATGTCTCAGAAATAGAGCAAGCCACTGCTGCACAATCTTGACCTTCTTTATTTACAGTTCTTGGTGTTCTGTCTCCTTAACTCAAAGTCCAGGTATTAAGGAGGTAGCAAACGTGTGTAACCAGACCCTGATGAAGCTGATTATGCCGGAGGATGATGGTGACAATATCCGACAGTTCATGCTGCAGCAGCTAGATGGCACTGCTGATGAGTCCTTCTCAAACCGCAAGAACTCCTCTGATCGTAAGTGATCCTCGCTCGCCTGTCCGTGTGTCTCTCTCAGACTGGTTCAGGTTGGAATCACAAGTCTGACCGGATGTGCGTCCAAAATGCAATGATCCCAAACCACTTGCTGCTCCTGATTGATGTGAGTTTGAGTGTGTTGTCTGGTGCTGGCAGCTACTTAGCATCTTACCGTGGCAACATTCTGTGCCCTGTGGGCCCTGACAGTCAATATCGGATAGTCACGCTGTTGTGAGCTGTGTCTTGACAGAATGAGAGGCTGTCATCTCCTGATCGCCCCATAAATATATTTTCAGACTGAGTTGTCGGAACAAACTTTTTCAAGCCGAGTATTTTCCTGGGTTCCGTTTGGCCAATTAACATTGATATATGTGTGACCACGTTTGACTTGAACCCTATTGAATAAACTGTATCTGGTGGGGTCCTCAATGTTAAAGTGGTCCTTTACACTAAAGTGAAGAGTAGGAGGCCCCTTTGGTGTATACTGTCAATCAGGATATGTCTGATTCTCCATAGATCCCTACAGTGTGGAAACAGGACCTTCAGCCCAACAAGTCTGCACCAACCCTCCGAGCATCCCACCCAGACCCATCCCCCAAATCTACCCATCCCCGGACACTACGGGCAATTTAGCATGGCCAATCCACCTACCCTGCCCATCTTTGGACTGTGGGAGGAAACCGGGGCTCCAGGAGGAAAGCCACGCAGACACTGGGAGAATGTGCAAACTCCACGCAGACAGTCGCCCGAGGGTGGAATCCAACCGGGGTCCCTGGCACTGAGATGTAGCAGTGCTAACCACTGAGCCACTGTGCTGCCCTTTTTCTCTGCTTTTAGTGTTCCTCTCACAGAATTCTCCACTCCAGCACACTTTATGCATTCGTGAAATAGTTAAAATAAGTGCCAGAAATTTTTTTCTTCCCTGAAGAAGGGTCCCGACCCAAAATGTCAGCTTTCCTGCTCCTCTGATGCTGCCTGGCCTGCGGTGTTCACCCAGCTCCACACCTTGTTATGCCAGAAATCTATGCATGCAGAGTCCCAGAAACCACTTCTCACTCATTAAGTTAGTGAGATAGTTCCTCTGGTGCTATTCTGTTCAATGCTGCTTTAGCTAAGTTGGGTACCATGATGAAGAGAGGGACTGCAAGGTGTAAAGTATGTTTATAATCTACAAAGTTCCCAATTGGACCATTAATTATGCAGAAGTATTGTTGTGCATTAAGACCTGTTATAAATGAATGTTTAGACATGGGCCAGGTGTAGAGATTCATTATTTCACAGGAATACACAGCCTTGAAACACGTTAATGCGGATATTGTGCCCAGCATGTGTAAATGATGCTAGTTAGCTTTGAGCCTCGGCGATTGTTATTTCAAATAATTGTCAAAGAGCCAGGAGGGAAAATGAGAAGAGGTTGTGTTGTGAAATATACTGCCCAACAGTACAGCAAAAACAGCTTCAGTAGTGACTTTCAAAAGAAGATATGATTTATACTTGAAAAGGAAAGTGTTGCTTAACTTTAGGGAAACAGTTGACCTGATTTGATGATCTGGTCAGAAAGCTGCCACAAGCACGGTGGGCTGAGTGATTGAATGCTATGACTGTGATATTATGCTCATTTAATCTGTGAATGTGAGGTACTTCACATTCATTTTCCATTCAGCTCTCTTCCCCCTGCCCCCACCTCTAACTGTTTTCTGTCCTTTGCTGAAAACATTACTTTCTCATTGGGTGTAGCTTCATTGACAGCAATTCTAGTGTCTGTCCAGTAGGCAACCTGTTCAAATGGGGAAAGCAAAGCAGATGACAATGACTGCTCCTTGGCTGTCACCAAAGGGCTTGCCTGAAGGGTCATGGATTCCAGTTATGATCAATGGCTTTCTCTCCTTACCCTGTCCCTGCACCCTCAGATCAAGTAGGTGACATACAGACCAAAGAGGTGACTTGTGACTGAGATCTATATGGCTTAATGCTGCCTCAGACACTCCCTTAGCTGCTGGGTGAAATTGAATTGAATTGAATTAGCTTTATTGTCTCATGTATTCACATGAGTACAGTGAAAAATTTGCAGGTTGCCACTTGCAGCGCCATCTTATCTACAAAAGTGCCTGGATTCAGATTCTTGAGTACGCCTTCTTAGGAAAAGAATATTTAAAGAAATCAAAAGTCCAGCATTACAGACCTTCAATAGTACAAAATCATTGTAATAAATTAGAAGAATAAAGAAAGAACAAGTTCAGCGTAACAATCTTTCCACAATGTAACAAAGAAAACAAAATTAGTATTTAAAACATAGCACACTTAGTCTGTTTCACAGCTCTGGGCTCGAGGATCCAATGCCCCTACCTTGTTGGAATCCCGGGCTGGAACCACCACAATGCTGCATGCAGTCACTGAATGACTGAAGCCGTCACGAGGAGACCCAGGCCGACCACGCCACCGCGAAGACGGTGCAGAAGCCTCGGGGAAACCCGGGCTGTTGGAATACTAGGCCCCCCCGGAGCCACCTCGTCTTCAGCCATCGCCAAAGCAGCCATGAGGAATGGCCAGATCCACACTGCATTGTCCGCTTCAGCAGCCTCTCAGAGCCTCCTTCCTCACCCAAATTGTGATGTGTATTGGGGATAGTGCATGCATTGATGGCTACCGTAAATTTCTGGGCTAAGCTTTAACTCTCCAACACCTGGCAGACATTTGGAAGTTTCTGTGAGCTGTTGCTTTTGTGGGCATGAGAAAACTGGCTTTTACATAACATTAACAAGGCCGTTCAAGAGGGGAATAATGGGGAAAGAGTGAAAGATTACTGTGTGTAATGCATCTAAAATAGAATGTAATAAAATAGCATGCATATAAAAGTTGCACTTTAGACAGATGGTTGTCCACAGAGACAACAGTACTTTATGGAGGGTCTTACAGGTCGAGTGAGAGTGGTGAAGTTTAGAGAAGAAATTGCTGATATGACTGCAAAGGCACAGACACTAGGGGTGAATGAAGGGGATGTCACAGAAGGATGTAGCTGAGTGGAGAGATTTCCAGTGTTGTGGGCTTGAGATGCCAGAGAAGGTTTGCGAATGGGGAAGGCTGAGATCCTGAACAAATTCAGCACTTGGAGATTTAAAGCAGTTGTCGCTGATTCAGAATTGACAATGCAACTCATCAAATGATCACTTTGAAGGGACAGAGCTGGAGAATCTTAGAGCTTGACTCTGGATTTTCAGTTTGTGCATTCTGAAGAACTTTTCAATGTTCAACTGAGACGATGTGATATATTGAACAAAAAAGTAGCTGTGCTTTCAGCTGTCTAGACCCTATAGCCTGAAATTTCTTGACTAAAGCCTACATCTTCCTCTTCTCTCTCTCTTTAAACCAGTATTAAAACCAGCTCTCCAGTGGTCTTTATCCACTAATTACTACCAAGGTTTCTGTGAAGTGCCTTGGGGTGTCTTCCTATGTTTCGGGTTCTATTGAAGTGCCAGTTGTTGAATTTGAACTGGGTCACAGTGGATTAAATAGTCACAGGGAAGTGAGAAATTACTACAGTCAGTCTTGTATCCACTGGGTGGCAGTATCAGCTCACCTCTAAATCTTGAAAGGATCATTTCGTTTCAGCTATCAAGCTTGTTTAACACACGCTAGAATAAATTGTGAGCAAAAGTAGTTTTTAAAAAAATCAATCTCAAATTCTGACTTGTCATGTTTCTCTGTGGTTACCAGATTGATTGTGAAGTTGATGCACATAAGTACTTAAAAGGTGTTCTTGGTTTTGCTATCTCCTGTTACCCAGTGATGCCTGTGAGTGTGCTAACTATTTGGAAATTAATTGTGGTCACGAAAGGGCTTAAAAGGACAAGTGAGTTGAAAAGTCAGCATGTGAAGTTATGATTTCAGTAGAGTGGGCTTGAGTACTAAGCCAACTTGGTAGATCTGCAATAGGACATGGTAACTTAAACGGCTCAGAACAAATATCAGTGAGTAATGTAGTAATGAGCTGAATAATTGAGAGTTTTTTTCTCTCATGTATGCGTACCGCAGCACTCTTCTACATTCAGTCCCTTTGCATTCTGTTTATTACGTGCACAGCCCATTGAATGTAAGAACAGGGGATGCTATTTGGACCCTCACGCCACCTCTGTCATTTGTAACAACCATGTCTTTTTTATTTTCTGTATTTTTACATTGTGACTGAAATGAGAAAAGAACTGTTTTAAAACCAAGGATTTTTGGAGGATTGCTGTGTGTTTTTGAAAGCAAGTAATCCAACATTGATTGTGATCATCGTTTATAAAGCTGCTTCTTCAAGCAGTGATTGAAATGTAGTTTGCAGACGAGCTGGAGCCAAAAGGCTACGTACTAATGGAGATTTGACCAGCAACAAATAGCTGATTGGTCACTGGTCACTGGTCACTAGTCCACAGACCAATCTTCGATGACAAAGGCCTTCTGCCTGCCAACACCAATATGATTGGCTCTCGGGTAGCTGTCTGGCTTGAGACTGAACCAAATTGTGAAGTCTTCGGATCTCCACCAACTCAGTAAAAGCTGTAAGGAAAAGTAAATTGGTTTTCTTCAGGCTTCAGTTGCTATAAACTGTGAATTTTAGTAAGTCGGAGACCATTTATAAGTGTGAATCAGTCACTTGTACCTCCTGTAAACATGTGACAGTATACCAAGAAGGAAGACGGAGAGTAGTGTTCTGATCGGCAGAAGAATCATCTCAGCAGACCCTGTGAGCAATGAGCCACTGCACTGCTGTCCCAAACTTTCACCCTGTCCCCAACACCTATGTTCTTGTTTGTGTGTAAGAAGTTAGAGTTTTAACAGTAGTATTATATGCCAGTGGTTTATAGTTGTTTGCCTGTGACTAGAGTCTAATTACTTGTAATGAATAATAATTTCTTGTTACGGACAGAAACCTGCTCTGGACTTTGTCAAAAGAGATAACAAGGTGCAGAGCTGGAAGAACACAGCAGGCCAAGCAGCATCAGAGGAGCAGGAAGGCT